TTGAATCTGATGTGGGATTTCTACTCTAGAGCCATTTTTCCGTAAGGGAAATCCTTTTCTAGAGCTTTTTTCCGGGGGATAATCCTACTCTAGAGCCAGTTTTTCGGGGGGGGGGGGGGAGATTTCAGAGGGGAAAGCCTACTCTACAAGATCGGTATGATAATGTCTCCTCCAACGGGATGAGGGTTAGATTGTCTGGGTGTATGCCTGTCAAAAATCGTAATAATCAAGAAGCTTTATTTTGGAATGGATTCACACTTAAGTTTGTTGATGACCATGACCTAAATGCATGTGATAACCTAGTACCAATGAGACGTCATATTGCACTGGACTTTGCAATCAGACTGTATCTTTTGAACCCTCAATTGGAGTTTATTCAAAATCGAGTATGCTGTTACTCATAACCAAAAATACCTTTACGAAATCTCTTATCTCAAAGGCAAGGTCACTGGGGATGAGATATTAAAATGTTGCCTGGGCCAATTAATTTGGAACCTGTATTTAGATTGAATTCAACTGTTGATGCTGACACCTAATGGTGTGTCACAATGTGTACTTAACGAGGTTATATAGCACCCTACCAAGGTTGTATAATGATGACCAGGTTATCATTAAGGAAAGTGTTTTAAATATCTGAAGTTTGGTTAAAAAAAAAGAAAAATCTCTATGTAGTTACAATATTGCTTACCTTGCTTTAAAAATACCCTTACAGTTTTGTTGCATATGAAAATTCAATGTTGCCAGACAATAAAAGAAACCTAGAAAAACTTGAGGAAAATTAAGTACCTTTTCTTTTCTAAAGTGCCTTTTATTGTGTTTTTGAACTAAGAATTCTTTAATTATATAACAAATAAACTTTTCATATCACGAATCATTCATCTTCTGAGGACATTAAATCTTTTGTTCTATAATTGTGGAATTAACACTTCATAAAGATGAAGATTTGAATTATTGCAGCCTTGTTGTTCTTAGGAAGATTTCAAAAAAAAAGTTTCCTCTGGATATATTTGTTCTCTCATGTTACTCCTTCTTTCTTTGATGGAATCCTCCCTTTATCCAACGATGCTTTGTGGCAAGTTTGGTTTAAATTGGCTGAGGGTTTTTAAAGACAAAAGATAACGGACAACAAACAACCGGACAGCCTTCAGTCATGCAAAGAAACTCACAACAAACAGGCGGACAGCCTTCAATCATGCAGAGAAACTCACAACAAACAGACGGACAGCCTTCACTCATGCAGAGAAACTCACAACAAACAGACGGACAGCCTTCACTCATGCAGAGAAACTCACAACAAACAGCGGACAGCCTTCAGTCATGCAGAGAAACTCACTCAAGCCTTTGGTTCAGATAAGCTGTAAAATGACTACACGTAGCTAGGACAAAAATTCATCTAACCAGACAAATAATTTAGAATCATATTTCAATGACAGACGATGACCTTAAGCCTGTTTAGTTTACTGTCTCTTAGAACTACTAACATGCATTGAACACTTTTGTTTGAACAACTAATTCGTGGAGTCACTAGTATGACATTGTAATTACTAAGTATTCGTTCAGCAAACAGAGAATGAGTCTAAATAATACCAGATTTATTGCGTTATAAATTGATCTGACTATTTTATCTTCACGTTGCTGTCAACGAGTGCAGACGTGATCACCACTCTGAACTAAATTGATCATGATCTATTTTATCTTTACGTTGCTGTAAAAAAGTGCAGACGTGCAGACGTGATCACCACACTAAGCAACAGACATACTGCTATCTATTACCGATGCCTTTTAGGTGACGCTCGGATAGTCGGCTATTGTTGTTTTCCAAAATTATTTGTGTCTGCTTTGCTCACCTGAACCACCTCCCTAACTCCCTCAAAGTCATTTGGCTTTAAATGAAGTTTTCAAGATCTGGTAAAAATAACATGTACATATGTATTTATTATCGTATTTTAAAATACCCCAACAGTATTTTTTATTGAAAAAAATCCGCAAATTACGTTTGGATTCGAAAACGCAACCGTTAATTACGTTATAGTTTTCTATTGCATCTATTAGTGTGTTTGGGAGCACCCCCCCCCCCCCCTATGCAGGCTTGCAAATTTTAATTATGAAAGTACAGTGCATTTTAAGATGTGGGGTGTATGGTAAATTTATAGGGCTTCATAAAACTTGAACAGAGTAATTTATATTAAGAATAACTATAAATTGTAATCGGGGAAGGAGGGGGATTAACTTATTCATGTTTAACTAATAAACGTTTTTCCCCACTAAAACCTATCGTGTATTTAATTTGTTTTATAGATTCCTATTGTCCTACATACTGGTTTTATTTTCCAATTATCGAAACAATAAATTCTTCATCAATATTCCGCTATCATCTGCATATGAAGGTTATGTCCCCCAAGCTTATTCGATACTCAAGAGCATGCTCTGAGTACGAACAATTTTTAAACTGAGGTAGGTTACCATGGCAGATAAGATTTCAACAACCTCGTTTAATATATAGGCACTCCCCATCTTAATTGTTAAAAAAATTAATATCTACTATACTATAATCATAACACTTATTATTTTATAGTATAGTAGATATATATTTTTTAACAATTAAGATGAGGTGTGCCTATGAATTGTATTTTTTTTAAATATCGATCACTGTTTGTTATCTTCAACTTAATTCCTTTGAAGAATCTTTATCTACAACCATATACATTGTAACATGTATGTACTCCAAAAACAACTGAGTCCACAGGAACCCATTAATTAAGTATATGAATAGGTCCTTGCTGGGTCTTAACCTTCTAAAGGTGTCTTGGCCTTTGCATACATGGCCCTAGAATATTCCTGTTTTCATGTACATCGAAATGTAAGAGTGCTTCATATTCATCAATTTCTTTTACAAAATGGTTAATGGCAAAATAAAATTATCAAAATATTAATTAAACAATCAATTTGAGGATTTAACGTAGAACCTATGTCGTATGACGTCATATCAAGGAAATGAGCTTAGACCGTCTTTTTTGGTGCTAGATCCATTATGACGTCATAATCAATTTAATGTTACTTTTTCCCGTACTTTCTCCAAGACTGTCTCACGTAAAGAAGTTACACAACTGTGATAATGTGAATGGCATGCAACTATTTTGAAGGCAACCAGAAATCCCAAGAAATCTAAATAGTACAATATCTTGATGAAACGTTTCTGAGTCAAAGATCTGTTAAAAATTGTGTGTAAATTTTGTAATGTCTATCATGAAATGACGTGCATTCCCTTTCATAATTATTATTAATTATTCATAATGGTTCGTGTATAATAATAATGTTTCCCTAAAATATTATTTTTCTAAATAAAATTTTTTTTACATTTTTTGATAAATATTCACATTGTAAATCTGAATGTAACCCCAAAACGGCCATTTAATAATCAAATCCTGTATAAGTGCAAAAAGGTCAACAGAAGAAGTATTGATAAATAGTGTCTCTCATTCGTTTGCGGCGAAAGGTATATATTTAAATCACTGTTTGTAATTATTTGGGTATGAGCTTCATCATATTAAAGATTGAAAACATTCTGACAAAGACTTTTGAAAAAAAATTTACAAATTTAGTTGGTAAATTGACTCAAAAAATATTGAACACGTTTGCCTATATTCGTTGAAATGTGGACTTAATCGTTTATGTCAATTGAATAAAACTGAATTTATTCTTGAATAATATTGCTTAATACGCTCCAGTTAATAAAGTCTATAAACGACGATGTTTGAAGAAGTATTTTTGTGATTTTCTATATTCTCTTTATGATCAGTACCCCTAAAAATGGATGAAAATGTGTAGTCGCACTGTAAAATTATCATTCCAAGTTGCACAGGCTGCACAACATTTAATAACAAGGAAACATACCATATATTTTTAACTGATTGATAAGCGAGTGCTTATGTATCATTTTGAAAAGTTTGAAAAACTTGTGACAAAGACTTTTCCGACATAGGTTCTACCTTAAATAATTTTCAGCTAAAGATTTTTTTCTTTGGAATCCGGAACATTTCAGTTTGATCCAAAGTTTTCAGGCTATTATTGCATTCATAATGATTTCCGATACAAGCGAGGCGGAACAATGGATGCGTTCCATTCATTCGTTCCGATTCGATTCCGGACGTTCTGTTCTCCGTGATGAATGGAATGAACCGGAACAGAAGAGAAATTTTCAACATGGCTGTCAATGGGCGGAACACCTGTCTGCTTTTTGTTTTATTTCAAGATTCCGACACTGACTCTGATTCTGAGGACGAAAATATCTTATTACCTGCACTAGCAGGCGCTATGTAAGTAAAGGCTATTTATGAATCAATTAAAAACTAAAAGGTTTTTGATCACGTGTGTTTTATAGTGGCTTGGGTATTAGTATTGAAACAAAAATGAAAAAAAAAACTAAATGAGGTTGGCATATGAAATAAATATTCATTTGGATGTTTTTTATTTACAGAAAGAAAGAAAAACCAAAAATATATGGATATGTGGAGGATGTGGTTCCCCTTTATTCTGATGCTTCATTTAGAAGAATGTTTCGACTGTCAAGACAGACATTTCAAATCCTCTCTTCATATCTAGAGGAAGTTCCAGAGATGAAGAAAGACGGTAATGGTGGTAAAGAACGAATGTCTCCACAAAAAGATATTTTAACCACATTATGGTACCTAGGGACTCTCGACAGCATTGACAGGATAGCAGACCGTTTTGGCATTTCGCCATCCTCGGTAATCAGGGCTAGAGACCGAGTTAGGAATTCAATTCTAACTCATCTCAAGTCAAAATTTATAAAATGGCCCAATCCCAATGAATTAAATCAAATCGCAAGCAATTTCCAGCAAAAGAACGGATTTCCAGGGATTGCTGGTGCATTAGATGGGACTCATATTAGAATAGCAAAACCAACAAACCATGGAGATTCATACATCAATAGGAAGGGATTTCCTTCCTTGCAGTTACAAGCGGTATGCAAGGAAGACATGATGTTTACTCATGTATTTACCGGATTTCCAGGAAGCTGTCACGACGCAAGAGTTCTTAGGAATTCCGATTTATGGGAAAATGGATTACAAATGATTCCAAATATATACCATATCATAGCTGACGCAGCCTATCCACTAAGAATATGGCTACTCACTCCCTACCGAGACAATGGTCACCTGACACACGAGCAACGCCGCTATAACAACTACCTGTCCAGCAACAGAATGGTAATTGAGAGAGCATTTGCTCTTCTGAAGGGTAGATTCCGCCGATTGCGTTTCCTGGAAACCCAGAAAATTGAGTATGCTGTCAAAATTATCATGACCTCTTGTGTTTTACATAATGTCTGCATTTTCAACCATGATGAAGTCGACGATTTCATTCAGCAAGATGTTATTGCAGCAAATTATAATGTTCCAGGAATCCAGGACTGTGAAGCCCAGGGTGTACAGAAACGTAATCAAATAGCCAGGAATCTTTTGTGATAGGCTAACTTCAGAATGAATGCATCATGTTTTTAAACATCATATTCAATAAAGAATACAGTAACTGTTCAATACAATTTAATACAGAAAAATATAACAATGTAACAAAACTCAACAAAAGATGTCAAATCGAACTTATATGTTTTTTTATGTAAATAAAACTATGGAACATGTCAAAAAGAGTAAGATATATCTTGACAGGTATTTAAAGTCAGCTGTAAAAAGTCCTTTACAGATGTTTTGATGAAATTTACATTGTAATCCATGTATTAAGACTATATGCCACAAACATTCTTTTCCTTACAGCTTAAAAGATAATAACAACAAATAATACTTAAATTCAATATATCATGGTCATGGAAGAAAAAAAAGATTGTTTCTCCAATAGACATTGCCATTAATGAACGTAATACAAGGTCAAAAAATTAATTATTCATTGCAGCTGCCTACAAATCCACTTATAGATTCAATGAATCTAACCCCCCACCCCCATTTCACCTATTCATCAGACTTATTTTTTAACACTTAAGTTTAAGAGAATTTAGTTGTCTAAGCAATAAATATTACAAAAATTTTACTTAGTTCTCAATTATGTCCATCAATGAACTTGGTTAGGGACTCAAATAAAGCAGGTTGGTGCATTCAAGCATCCTTTAAAAGTCACAAGATTTGTAATGTATAAAAGCCAAACTATTTCTTTAAAAAAAAAACTATCTAGCCACTCTTAGAATTGTGGGTAAACAACTGCAAACAAAGTTTTTTTTTTTTAGCTGTAGCCAAGTCTAAATTACATGTAATACATTATCCATCCATGTTTTTTTTTTTTTCAGTTCCAAGCAAGTAATCATGAACTAATGTAGAAAAAAATGTTTAATACTTGGACATAATAAAATAGAAAAATGACAATGAAAATAACCTATTTGGGAGTTTGTAGTAAATAATAAAAACTATTTGTTAAATTGTACCAAAACAAAATAAAAAATGCAAACAATTCTGACTAGCAATTATCCAATAACAGTTTGTGTAATGTATAGTACATAGTTGAATTTTCAGGAGAATAACTTTTCCTCTGCAAGAAAAAAATCAACAAACAGATGAAACAAAAACAACTGCATTGCTTTCAGTGATAAAACGAAATATTAAAAATCCTACCACAAATACTTTGAAAAGTTTTATGGCACAACTCAGAACAAGTTTTAAAAAATGAAAGAAACCATTCACTATTTTGTGCCCTTGTGCTTAAGAGTCTATGTAAAAAACACTTTAACTTTTTTCGCAATTCTTGATCTGCATATTGGACAGACTTCTAGAGCTTTGCTGCATGGAATACAGCACACAAGGTGGCCACAGTCAACAAACACTACTTCTTTTGGATGACTTTCTTCCATGCAGATTTCACATTCACCTGAAAAGAGATTATATCAACAAAAATTAAACAGGAGTTCCTATGAGCAAAGTCAAGATCATGTAATATGTAATCTTTAACATGGAGTAAGAACTTGTAAATGGATTAAATGTAACAATAGTACATGACTGTACATGTATTGTAAAAATAATGACCAAACGCATGTAATGGAATGTTTCCTACTCTTTGATTTCAAGGAACTAAATGTGTACATGTATTTAATATAATAATGTTAAAATTAAAATTAGATAATTCAATTTTCTAAGGATTTACACAAAAAGTACAAGTAAATACATGTAATAATAATTTTCAGCCATATGCATATTTTAATTTTATCATGTAAGGATATTTGTGCTGAGCCAAGGTATAAGGAACACAACACTCACTAGTGATGTGCTCCCATTGTCTCAATGAGTTTTTTCATCAAATCCATCTTTTCATGATGCATTTTTTCTTTACGCTCACTTTCCTACTTTCTTCTTTTTTCCTGATTTTCAATAAAGTTTTTCATTACATCAATGACCTCTGTTGAAGTAGATGTACGCTTTCTTTTCTTTGGATTAGTACCTGAACCTGATGGTGTGGGCGTAGACGACCTTGAACTCTCATCGTCACCATCCTCTGAATCGTTGGGAACTTCTGCAGAAATTTTGGAGTCAGTGCTACAGGCAGTTACTTCTGGAGTAATGGCAGGATCTTTGGAATATATTTCATCCAATTCAGACTCATATTCAAAACGCTTTCTTCCAGTTCCACTTTTCTTCTTATTGTCTTTGACTGCTTTGTATCCTCTCTGCAAAGTCTTCCATCTCCCTGAGACTTGCTCATGATTATAGGAGTATCCTTCATCTTTCATCCCTGTGGCAATTTCCTCCCACATGGTTTTCTTCTTGATCAAACCTTTCTTAATTTTCTCTTGATATGTTTTGTATTTGGTTATTAGAAGTAAGGTACTAGAGCGTGTCCAAGACATACCTATATCCGCAGTACTGCATGAGGCAACTTTACTCTCCTTTTCATCTCCTAGAAAACATTAAAATTAATAAATATATACTTTCAATGCTTAACATTTAAAAAAAAATACATGTTAGACACAACCTGTTACATGTATTTATTTATGGTGTTTATTCCAGAATATGAAGATCATATACTATATAGAATTACTTCTTTTGAGTAACAGTTTCAATATTTTTCTCTTGATGTGAAATATATCTACTCCTATGTAATTAGTACAAAATTAGTTACTATTTATTATGGGAGGAGGAAATATTAATCTCTTGAAAGTGCAACCTCCCAGGTATACTAATCTGTAAAATTTTTAACTTTAACATTAATTACCTGATGATGGTGTCCCTGCTAGTGGTTTCTGACATATGTGCTCAGACATCAACTCCATGTCGTTGAAGTATATGCTGCACTTGTGGCACTGGGTTACCGTGCGTTTTTTCATTTGACTTTCGGCATTAATTTCATGTGCTGTTTGTTTTGTCACAAGAATGGAATTATTTTCTCCGCCTAAATGAGAAAAAATATCTTTTATACTAATAGTATACATTAATATCAAAGTACATACTGCTGCATTGCAAATTATAAAACTCAATTGCAAAAGATATAAACGGCAGAATTAAAAAGGGGGAGGGGTGCTAAAAGGTAAGCCTTCATTTAGTTAATACCATTTGGATATGCTTTCAAAAAGACGAGGAGATTCGAAAAAAGATCGCCACTGTGATCGACCCCTTTCCCTACTATTACAATTTTTACTTGTCCTTTTTAATACACTTTTTTCCTCGTAAATATGTCATTTTTTAGGTTTGTACCCCCCCCCCCACTTTCCCTTTAAAAATCTAAGATTTTCTTGACCCATCTTGGGCCTTTATGATGGCTAATAAGGTGCGCACTAAATATCCCTATAAATTTAAGTTTTTAAAAAAGCATTTGCAGTAAAACGTATACACAGTAACAAAACTCACTTGATTCCGTTGTGCATCTATGCATTTTAACATCATCTAAGCTGGAAAAGTACAAATTGCAGTCTTCACATTGATAAAGCACGTTTTTCTCCGCCATTTTTGTTACGTAATAATTCCCGCTGAACCACCTCTTTAGAAAGGACAGAGAGAATCCGTCCGGAATCGGATTCCAAATCGTTCCATTGCAATTCTACGCGTTCTGGACTTTCGGAAGCGTGAAAGGAACGCACCCCTAGTAGCAAATTCTATCAATATTTGGTTATTTTAATTCAATCAATAAAATGCTCTTTTTTTAATGCGGGAATCAACGATTGCAACCAATAACAGTTATATTATATTCTTTAGTATGTTCCTATTAAAATACATATAACCAGCGTTTCGTTAAACCACAGGAGTTCAACTCCGCGTACCGTCCTATCAATTTTATCGAAATTTTCAGTAAATGAGAAAAATATGTAATACCTATAATAATTATTAAAGGTATTACGTATTTTTGTATCTTTGGTAAGTTAGGGGTCATGAATGCGTTTCCATTCCACGTGTTACTTTTTTAAAACAGGAAGTGCCATCTATGTTGCCAGTCTTTCCATAGTACTTATTTAGTAATATTTTTCAATAGTACTCACTTAGCTGTGTTCTGATTGGTTACATGTAATTTAACCATTTGATCTTTGATATTTATTCGCCTTTGGCCCAAATTGTTTTTGAGCACAGCTACATGAACATGATGAAGGGTATTTCAAGCTGTGTTCTACCAGCTTACCTCACTTGGGTAAAGGAACTCATAACAACCCCATGGCTACAGTTCCTCTTTACTGTGTTAAGTGCAAGTCTCTGTAAGAATCAGGCAAAGTAGGTCTGAAAGTGAATCATGAGGGTTCTCAGAATTTGTTGATTTTCAAAACGTAAATTTCTCTTGTGCTATGAACCATGTATGCAAAGTGAAAAAAGTTTTGGGTCATGGTTACTATGGAAACATGACAAAAGAAATTTCCCTAGCAACCAGTCAATTTTCCATGTGTGTGGACAAAAAATCACTAATCTTTAGGGCTTGGAATTGATTGTGAATATTAAAGAATGTCTTCTTATTTATTCTTATCGTAAAGATAAACATTTAAGGTGTTTTCACAATGCATTACATAGAAATAAGATTTTGAGATATATCTGTACTAGACATGGGTAGATATGCATATTTTGTGTTTTTTGCTGATTCAGCATTTTTGTTGATTTTGGTACTTTTCAAGGCCTTATAACTCAAACTTCTGGCGTCATACAGGAGTTGCAAATATTTCGCATTAAAGCAGAGGAATGTCTCTTTTGGACTTTAAATTCAAAAAGGTGTGTTTTTTTTTGAAAATTCCAATGCGTTGCCTAGCAACAAAAATGGATGTTTTGATAAATAAAACTGGAAAATCGTACAATGTGAAAATTATTAATCTAAAAAATTGTTATCTGAGAGTACAAAAATACAATTTAAAGTAAGAAAATGTATTTGAGACATCTTTGCAAACCAAGAAATATTGTAAAGATACTTATCTCCATGGCAACAGCAAATTCTCCATAGCAACAAAGCAAATAAAGTCACTTTTGGCACATATTTATGAACAATTGTAAAATATTAATCC